CATATTGACTGCAGCACTTTGACAGCATCATCTTTTAGGATTTGAAATAGCTCAACTGGAATTCCATCACCTCCACTAGCTTTGTTCTTAGTGATGCTACCTAAGGCCCCCTTGACTTCACATTCCTGGATGTCTGGCTCTAGGTGAGTAATCACATCATCGTGATTATCTGGGTCATGAATATCTTTTTTGTACAGTTCTTCTGTGTATTCTTGCCACCTCTTCTTAATATCTTCTGCTTCTGTCAGGTCCATACCATTTCTGTCCTTTATTGAACCCATCTTTGCATGAAATGTTCCCTTGGTATCTCTGATTTTCTTGAAGAGATCTCTAGTCTTTCCCATTCTATTGTTTTCCTCTATTTCTTTGCATTGATCACTGAGGAAGACTTTCTTACCCCTCCTTGCTATTCTTTGGAACTCTGCATTCAAATAGGAATATCTTTCCTTTTCTCCTTTGCTTTTGGCTTCCCGTCTTTTCACAGCTCTTTGTAAGGCCTCCTCAGACACCCATTTTGCCTTTTTGCATTTCTCTTCCATGGGGATGGTCTTGGTCCCTGTCTCCTGTACAATGTCACAAACCTCCGTCCATAGTTCATCAGGCTCTCTGTCTATCAGATCTAGTCCCTTAAATCTATTTCTCACTTCCACTGTATAATCGTAAGGGATTTGATTTAGGTCATACCTGAAAGGTCTAGTGGTTTTCTCCACTTTCTTCAATTTCAGTCTGAGTTTGGCAATAAGGAGTTCATGATCTGAGCCACAGTCAACTCCCGGTCTTGTGTTTGCTGACCGTATAGAGCTTCTTCATCTTTGGCTGCAAAGAATATAATCAATCTGATTTCGGTGTCGACCATCTGGTGATGGCCATATGTATTGTCTTCTCTTGTGTTGTTGGAAGAGGGGGTGTGCTATGACCAGTGCGTTCTCTTGGCAAAACTCTATTAGCCTTTGCCCTGCTTCATTCCGTACTCCAAGGCCAAATTTGCCTGTTACTCTAGGTGTTTCTTGACTTCCTACTTTTGCATTCCAGTCCCCTATAATGAAAAGGACATATTTTTTGGGTGTTAGTTCTAGAAGGTCTTGTAGGTCTTCATAGAACTGTTCAACTTCAGCTTCTTCAGCGTTACTGGTTGGGGCATAGGCTTGGATTACCGTGATACTGAATGGTTTGCCTTGGAAACAAACAGAGATCATTCTGTCGTTTTTGAGATTGCATCCAAGTCCTGCATTTTGGACTCTTGTTGACTATGATGGCTACTCCATTTCTTCTAAGGGATTCCTGCCCACAGTAGTTTATAAAATGTCATCTGAGTTAAATTCACCATTCCAGTCCATTTAAGTTCGCTGATTCCTAGAATGTCGACGTTCACTCTTGCCATCCCCTGTTTAACCACTGCCAGTTTGCCTTGATTCATAGACCTAACATTCCAGATTCCCATGCAATATTGCTCTTTACAGCATTGGACCTTGCTTCTATCACCAGTCACATCCACAACTGGGTGTTGTTTTTGCTTTGGCTTCATCCCTTCATTCTTTCTGAAGTTATTTCTCCACTGATCTCCAGTATCATATTGGGCACCTACCGACCTGGGGAGTTCATCTTTCAGTGTCCTATCTTTTTGCCTTTTCATATTATTCACGGGGTTCTCAAGGCAAGAGTACCCTTCTCTAGTGGACTGTACTGATTAGAGCTGTCTATTAATGTCTCTGCAAATTCATTTAAATATCGCTTACCTGAAATTTCAACTATCATGCCATTTTATTAGAAAGCATCCCTAAAACGTCCTTATACTACTTCTGCCCATCACAATTTACTGATATTTTTCCTAGAATACCTGTACCTCACTACTTTTTATTTTATTTTTTCATTCATTTATATTAGTTGGAGGCTAATTACTTTACAATATTGCAGTGGTTTTTGCCATACATTGATATGAATCAGCCATGGAATTACATGTGTTCCCCATCCCGATCCGCCCTCCCACCTCCCTCCCCATCCCATCCCTCTGGGTCTTCCCAGTGCACCAGCCCTGAGCACTTGTCTCACGCATCCAACCTGGGCTGGTGATCTGTTTCACACTTGATAATATACATGTTTCAGTGCTATTCTCTAAGATCATCCCACCCTTGCCTTCTCCCACAGAGTCCAAAAGTCATTTCTATACATCTGTGACTCTTTTTCTGTCCTGCATATAGGGTTATCGTTACCATCTTCTGAAATTCCATATATATGCATTAGTATACTGTATTGGTGTTCTTCTTTCTGGCTTACGTCACTCTGTATAATGGGCTCCAGTTTCATGCATCTCATTAGAACTGATTCAAATGTATTGTTTTTAATGGCTGAGTAATATTCCATTGTGTGTATGTACCACAGCTTTCTTATCCATTCGTCTGCTGCTGATGGGCATCTAGGTTGCTTCCATGTCCTGGCTATTGTAAACAGTGCTGCGATGAACATCGGGGTGCATGTGTCTCTTTCAGATCTGGTTTCCTCAGTGTGTATGCCCAGAAGTGGGATTGCTGGGTCATATGGCAGTTCTATTTCCAGTTTTTTAAGAAATCTCCACACTGTTCTCCATAGTGGCTGTACTAGTTTGCATTCCCACCAACAGTGTAAGAGGGTTCCCTTTTCTCCACACCCTCTCCAGCATTTATTGCTTGTAGACTTTTGGATAGCAGCCATCCTGACTGGCGTGTAATGGTACCTCATTGTGGTTTTGATTTGCATTTCTCTGATAATGAATGATGTTGAGCATCCTTTCATGTGTTTGTTAGCCATCTGTATGTCTTCTTTGGAGAAATCTCTGTTTAGTTCTTTGGCCCATTTTTTGATTGGGTCATTTATTTTTCCGGAATTGAGCTGCAGGAGTTCCTTGTATATTTTTGAGATTAATTCTTTGTCTGTTGCTTCATTTGCTATTATTTTCTCCCAATCTGAGGGCTGTCTTTTCACCTTGCTTGTAGTTTCCTTTGTTGTGCAAAAGCTTTTAAGTTTCATTAGGTCCCATTTGTTTATTTTTGCTTTTATTTCCAGCATTCTGGGAGGTGGGTCATAGAGGATCCTGCTGCGATTTATGTCAGAGAGTGTTTTGCCTATGTTCTCCTCTAGGAGTTTTATAGTTTCTCGTCCTACATTTAGATCCTTAATCCATTTTGAGTTTATTTTTGTGTATGGTGTTAGAAAGTGTTCTAGTTTCACTCTTTTACAAGTGGTTGAGCAGTTTTCCCCGCACCACTTGTTAAAGAGGTTGTCTTTTTTCCATTGTATATTCTTGCCTCCTTTGTCGAAGATAAGGAGTCCATAGGTATGTGGATTAATCTCTGGGCTTTCTATTTTGTTCCACTGTACCTCACTTCAAGTGGTAACTGCAACATAGCATGCATATTTTTAAGGTGTCAGTTATTATTATATTTTCCTGGTTTATTGTCAAGCCTGCCTGATATAAATTTAAGATGCAGAAGAGAAGACCTTCTGGTTCTTGTCTGCTACTTATATTACGAGAATTTACAAAAATGTGCCTATGTAGAATGGCATTGAACTAATGGCACTGAAAGAACTGATGTGAAGTAAGTAATGGAATGAAGTTACACACACACACACACATATATTCCTGGTAAAATTTGTATCCTTTTGTTTCAAATAAATTGCTTCTCCACCTATTACTGGTGTGGGAATTTAGTAAGCTAACATGAAAATCTATACATTATTAAAGTACTGATATAGTAACTTACCATCAAGTAGTTAATGAGCTGCAAAGCTCACTGCAAAAACCAGTTGTTCTGTACATAATATGTACACAATTACTTCTTCTTATTGTCAACATTAACTTGGGATAGGAAGAGTAAATTGCAGAAACAAACTTAATAACGACTCTGATGTAGTTACTTTCGGAACTGAAGCCTCTTGGGAACACTGAGCTAAAATTCATACCTGAAGCTTCTTCAATTTTTAACTGCATACTTACTGTTATGACAATGACTTAACAACAGAATTTCAGAGATAACTCAGTTTTTCCTGGACCCAAGATTCTTCTGCACATCAAGGAGTTACTTTATTTACAAAAAGGAATTCTTCTTTATGTTGTATCAGATAACAGACAGTAGAAGCCACGGAGGAAATACTATGTAATTAACATGAAACAAGCTAGGGACACATGTAGGATTAAATTATTTTTAGAATATTAAAAGAAACTATAAAAATAGGGCTAAACAGCCACACTTACGGAAAGCAGGCTGAAAAGACAATGACTAATGACTGATTTATAGTAAGTTCAATTCAAAATTCCCAAAGAGCAACGCCTACACAAGGCTTCCTTTAATTGGAGCAAAAATAAACAAAAAGTAAGAATAATGTGTATCTCTTGGAAGATGCACATTAATTTTAGGAATACCTTCCTTTGCTGAAAAGTATTAAAAAACCAGTCTTTGTCCAAATTTTAAAAAAATGACTACTAATGTATCCACACACTCTGGGTATCTTATCAGATGCATGAAATGCCTCCTTACTTCTAGATAATTCTGTATTTACTATCCATCTCCCCTGCATGTGTGATGGCAAATTAACTTTTATGACTTTACTCCTCATTATGTGGAAGTCTAAGCATTAATTTTTTAAGGGAGGGGCAAATTCATACTGAAAAATGTATTACTATTTCATTTTAATACATCTCACTCATGGTTGGGAAGTTATAAATTGATCAAAATATTTATTTAAAATACATCATAAAATTAATGAAAAGGATAGAATTCACTTACTGTTCCTTACTATCACCAAAATTCTGTGTTCAGGAAGATGTCTAAATTGTGTAAAATACAAACGGAACAGAGAACAAAAATCAAAAAGCCATCTTTGAAAGATGAGTGACTGAAGTAAAACTTGGTGACATGCATAAGCTAATACCTAAAGAGGAAGGAGGGGGCATTGATAGGGCAGCCAATGGCATTTACTTTTTAAAACAGATCTTCTTAATTGAAAATAACTATGTCATAACTCACCTCTGCATACTTCAGTTTCAGTGTTTTATGCATTTCTCGGAAACGACTGTATCGTCTGAACACGGTCCACGTCTCATCCAGGACAGTGATCTATTCATGGGGAAAAGCGAAAAAAATCAGCATTAATTAGAGGAAAAGGTGACTCAGTTTCTTTAAAATAATTTACAAATTAACAAAAAGTGATTAGCATATAAATTTCCCCAGAAGTGAAAACATTAATCTCGCAACACAAATCAGCCTTATAAATAATAACTGCTCTGCCGACACATGCATCTCTGTTTCCCAAATCTTGTTACGAGGACGCTCCCCTGTAAAGTGAAGGACAGAGTCTCCTCTTCAGGGCTTATCAGAAGTTCCCTCAGCTCTCCACGTGGGGCGCAGAGAGGAAACGTCACAGCGGGACCTCTCAGAGCGCTGTGCCCACACAGAACATTTGCACTCATATAAAATGCAGTGTTGGTTCCAGATGCCACCACCATGGACAAGAGAGAAGCAGCAGCAAAGAAAAAGAGAGGGATGAGGAGAAGGTGGAGGACGAAGAGGAAAATGAAGAAAGAAAAAACTGTCTGCATGCCAGTGATCATTAGCATCCAAACCCACACTATCGCCTGCTTTGTTTCGGGGGCAGACTTCCCAGTCCAGCCTCCACCCGGCAGAGGCGCTCACTGCTCCTGCTGGCTGATGTGTCCTGTGGGCACTCTGGCACCCATCGATCATACACCAAGGTCACGGGGACCTGAAGAAGCTGGGAGACACCACCCACCTCTGCGGCCACACTTGAGTCACCAATTCCCATCGCACCCCCACCACTGCTCCAGACCCATGTCCCCAGCCGGGAGACGACTTTTCTTTAGATGTCGCACAGCAACTTCAAGGTCAGCTTGTCTGAAACAAACCCATCCATGCTCAGTGCCGGTCACGACCACCCACCAAGCCACGCCAGATGGACGCTCGTCCAGCTGCCCCAACACACCACAGTCAGACAAGCCCCGGGTCCCGCGCCTTCCTCGGGGTTCTACCTTCTCAGCCTTTGCCACCACCGCCGGCTCACTCTGGGCCACCAGGTCCCACGTGGCCTTGGCCGAGCCTCCCACAGTGTCCCCACCCAGCCGCTCCTCCCATCCCTCCCCTGCACCACTGATGGCGAGCTCTCTAACACTTAAATCTGATCCTTCTACCTCCACCCATAAGTCCCCAGAAGCTTCACGCCGTTCCTAGAAAAAGACCCACATTTTAGACTTGTGCCCCTCCAGCAGCCTCTGCCCGCAGGTGTCTTCGCTCATGGGCACCTCCTGTAAACCGCACACTCTTTTCCACGCTGGCCTCTGTGGGGGCCACACCCCTGAACCAGAAACCTCACCCTGCGCGTGAGAGAAACACCCTCCTCAGGCTGGTGATTCAGCCTGATTCGCCCACATGGAAACTCCAGGGGGTGAGCAGGGAAGTCGGGGATCAGCAAACCACCAGGATCGACAGGGGCAGGACACCCATGCAGAGCCCTTAGGAGGAGGGGCAAGCCTTGAGTCTCAGCCTCAAGGTTCGCTCATTTTCCCAAGTGGCAAATGAGACGATTTGGGGTTGTACAAGGATGTACGTTTCAGAATGTTCATCATCTGGCTCTAGATTCATCATTTACAACAAAGCTTCAATTGTAGCAGCTTTCTTCCTGTTTCCTTTTAAAAAGATATTTAAGTAAGGAAAAGAAAAAAGATAAGTATGCTAACAAAAAAGCATTTAGCAAAAATGGTACCAATGTCACCGAAAGTTGGGAAATACTGCCCCTGGCAGCTCGGCTGGGGGGCCTTCTTCCAGGCTCTCTCCTTCTCAACAGGCCCCACCGAGCACAATCAGCAAAGGGGGAGGGCTTCCTTAGGGCAGGAGCACAGCCGTTCACCAGCCTGGCTGGACACAGATCAGGTGGGTGTGATACTGCCTGCTTGCCAAGAAAGCCCAGCAATTAATGGAACCACACCTGTGACCTGGGAGCCCTAAGATGCTGGATGCTCCCCAGGAGACCATTCTGTCCTGGAATTCTGGAATCTACAGAAAGTCGCGGAAGAAGCCTGGGTCCCCCTCCTCCCTCAGATGCTAATACTCCCTGGATCTCTGAGTGCTTCCACTGTTCCTCTTCAACTCACAGTCAATCATCTGCAAAATCCCCCCATCCCTAGCCTCTTTCGGGAACATCCCCTTCACCTTCACTCTAGCTGGTCACCAGGGGACCCCTCCCGCTGCAGCCCTCTCAGTAGGGACTCTGTTCTCCCCACACTCCGCATCCCATCATCCCGGAGGTCGGTGGACGCGCCTGTGCTTCCATCCAACTTTTACACTGCTCCTCTGCCCTCTCTAAATGCCCCTACGTGAAGACCACGCCTTCAGATCTTACCTTTATCCATCCTTCTCACAGGCAATTCACCTCACTTACATCCCCGACTCCTTGAACATCCTGGGTTTTGCTCACTGTCATCTGCTCCCAGGCTACAGAAGTCCTGCCATGAATCTTGGTAATTAAATCAATGACAGATGATCCCTCCAATGCCCTAACCTCCTGTTCTTTGACTTCTGTCCTGGTTCCTTCCTCACCCAATGGGAAAACCATGGGCAATCATTACAACCATCCCCTTACATTCAACCCCAAATCTCTTCGTCCTGGCTCTTGAAATTCCCTCGACTAAGCTAAACCACAACCTTGGTTAAATCCGACTGTCTGCTTACTCCTGGCCTGCAGCTGCCTAGCAGGATGGGGCTGCAGGAACACACACCACCAAACGGCCACCTGGTTCTACACTTCAGTCACAGTCACCGTTCTGGAGTCAGCCAGGATGTCTCCCACCAGTTGGTTACGCCACATTTCCCAACTCCATCCACTCTCCCACTCTCTTGGATGAGAGTTTTCTAAAGTTACCCCATCTTTCTCCTTGAGCCTTCATCACCCCCACTGCCCTGTCCTCCACACCTTTCTCAACACAGCAGCCAAAGCAATCTTGTTAAAAACTGCCCGAAGGAGCCATTTCTTTGCTCAGATGGGACATCCTCTCAAGGAGTCTACAGTCTGTCTCCTCCCCGGCCTCGTCTCTGGCCGTACTCTCCCTTGCTCACGCTGCCTTCCTCGCTTATCTGGAATCCATCAAACATGCTACACGGTGAATGTGGCCTCAGGAAGCGCATGTGTGATTTTTCCTTTTTCTGGAATGCTCTTTCCATGTGACTAGCTCCAGCACGTCCTTCAAGTCTTTGCTTAAAAGCCCACTTTCTCAGTGATGCCTCCTCTGGATATACTACTGCACCACCCCCCCCACCCCTTATTCCCCATCTCCACAATACTTACTCCTCGTATTTTTCTACTAAGCATGTCTTCCTACCTAACATGGTACAGTCATGCCTTCAAGATAGTGTGGGTTGGGTTCCACAGTAAAGTCTATATTGCAATAAAGTCAGTCACATGACTAAAGAGACATGCCTTCAAACAAGACATATGGATGGCCAACAATCACATGAAAAGATGCTCAACATCACTAATTTTTAGAGAAATGCAAATCAAAACCACCGTGAGGTTATCACCTCACACTGGTCAGAATGGCCATCACCAAAATCTACAAACAAAAAATGCTGGAGAGGGTATGAGGAAAAGGAAACCCTCTTGCACTATTTGTGGGAAGGTTAATTACTGCAGCCACTATGGAGAACAGTATGGAGTTACCGTAAAAGACTAAAAATAGAACTACCATATGATCCAGCAGTCCCATACCTGGGCATATACTCTGAGAAAACCATAATTCAAGAATACACCAATATTCATTGCAACACTATTTACAACAGCCAGGACGTGGAAGCAACCTAAATACCCATCAACAGATGAATGTATAAAGAAGATATGGTACAAATGCACAATGGAATATTACTCAGCCATAAAAAGGAATGGAGTTGGGTCATTTATAGAAACATGGATGGACCTCGACTCTGTTACACAGAGTGAAGTAAGTCAGAAAGAGAAAACCAAATAATATACATTAATGCATATATATGGAATGTATAAAAATGGGACCGATGAACCCATTTGCAGGGCAGGAATTAGAGACAGAGAACAGACCTGGGGACATGGGAGTGGGGAGGGGAAGGGGGGACAAGTTGAGCGAGTAGCACTGACATATATACACTACCACGAGTAAAACAGACAGCGAGTGTGAAGCTGCCGTGTACACGGCACACGGAGCCCAGCTCGGAGCTCTGTGATGGCCTGGAGGGGTGGGAATGGGGTGGGTGGGAGGCAGGTCCAAGAGGAAGGGGATGAACGTATATGCACATAGCTGAGAAACTAGCACAACATTGTAAAGCAATTGTATTCCAGTTTAAAAAAAGTGAGTCACACAAATTTTTAGTTTCTCAGTACATATAAAAGTTACGTTTATATTACACTGCAGTCTATTAAATGTGTGTGTAATATATTACATCTAAGAAAACAATGTTCATACCTTAATTATAAATACTGCTGAAAAATGCTAACCTTCATCAGATGACTTAAAAGTTGCCACAAACCTCCCATGTAACAGAACAAAACAAAAAACCCCTCAGTATCTAGGAAGGGCAATAAAACGAGATGTGCCTGTATTTGTTTACTTGGACGTCTCGTTTCTGGCTCTCTTCCCTGCTGGAGTGAGCCCCAGGAGAGCTGGGATTTCTAGCTGCTCTTTACCGCACCTTAGAAAAGGACCTGATGCAGCGTGAGCATCCTGAGGAAGAGCTGGAGGGCAGAGCCTCATGATGGGCTGATCTCAAACGTCCTCAGGCTCAGCAGCAATGAGTCAGCAGGGCCCGTCTCCATCTCTCTGGCGGGAGAGACGGCCTTAAGCACAACTGGGATTTGGATGTGGACGTGGGGAACTGGACACCAGCTTGTGTGACTCTGGCCTGCACCCTCTTCCTTCTCATTGACTTCACAAGTCATTAAGTCGGACTGCATTTTGAAACCTCTAACCAATGCAACAGCTACTTCAAATCTACCTCCTAATTCGGGTTTCATTCCTCCTTCCCACAGTGGCCCCAGAACAAGGGCTTTATAAGGGACAGAAATTTCTCTAACACCTTGCATG